AACAGTTATACCTGATCCCTTTCAAAATTGCAAGTGTAATAAAGTAATATGTTCTAATACCATCATCATTTTAATATGACCATGACACCATCATAACTCTTTAGTGGATTATATTGCTTTTAATCAATTCACTGATTACAGTAGTTCATATTCGACATTTAATGCAGACCATTACAATAATTTCTATTAAAACAACAAATTATTTGTAGTGATGAAAAATTTATACTTGCAAGTATACCCCACACCTCAAATGAGGACCTAGCCAATGTGCTATACTAATTTAGAGTGTAAGACTGAAGAGCCAAGGATTTCATGGCAAAGAAGGGATTTGAACCTAGGTCTTGTTGGTCCTACTCACTGGTGTGGTGTTGTTAGAGCATTGGACCTAGGAGCCCCAGGTTCAAATCTCCTCATCATGAAACTTGGAGCCTAACTAGATGTATGCAAGTGCAAAAACATAACAGTACATTGAAGTGTTCTCTGCGGCCACACAGCAGCTGTGGGAACTATTTTTTTGACAAAAACAGCCTGAATGGGGTCAGAATGGTGCTGTGGGGGAAGAAACAACTCCTGCCTTCTTCCAAGCAGTTTTCCTTGAACAAAAACTGTGGCGAGGTGAAGTTACATCACTGTTTTTTCTGTTCCGTGTGGAGTATCTGTGCACGTGGAGTAGAAAAATTGGTGAAACAACTCATTGCCGTGCTGAGTTTTCACTTGAGAAAGCTGCTTGGGAGGGGAGGCAGGAACCTTTTCTTCCCCTCATAGACTTTCCAAGTCCATTCAGGCTCTCCTTTTAAAAAATAAAAGAAACTTTTCCTGCAGCTCCTGCATGGCTCCATGAGACACTTGAATGCACTTGTATGGAAATGCAAAAAAAATAAAGTCTAGTTTGGCTCTGAGACACCTTTGCCAAGTCATTCTTTCACAGCACACCTACTTAGGGGGTTGTTGTGAGAATAAAATGGAGGGGAGAGAACCAGGTAAACTCAGCCAGGAAACTCACTAGGTCACCTTGAGCCAGACACTCCCTTAATCTAATTTACCTTACAAAATTATTGTGAGGATAAAAATAAAATGGAGGGGGGATAACCACATATGCTGCTGTGAGCTCTTTGAGAAAAGGGTGGAATAAAATGTAATACACAGAACAGAACCTTCCAGAGTCTGGTTGGGTTTACACATGCAGGAAGAAGGATAGTAGAATAGACTGTACCACAGTGAACTACAAGAACAGGATACCATTTTTAAAATATTCCACCATGTTTGAACAAAGATGGGGCCTGGTAAGGATTGGAGATATTTCTTGTACAAATTTGGGGGAACCCCAACATACAAAAAGTGGGGGACCCATAGCGAAGATGTGGTCTGATCTTCCACAGACAATGCAACATAAACAGCAAAAAAATAATTCTATGTGCTTTCTGCTCATAGGCCACTCCATCAGTTGGTCATCGCAGGTGGAAGGCAGTGGAGCAAAAACCATGGCCTGTGCTTTCTGCTTCTAGCCTCCTACAAGCAGCTGGTTATCAAGGAAGGGGGGCTTGAAGCAGAAAGCATGTCCTATGTTTTTTACTCCTTGACCCCTCCAGTGGCCACACAGCAGGGGAAAATTGGATTTTCCCTCCCCCACAACTGATGTTTCTTGCTTGAGTATTCTACTACCCCATTCTGCCTCCTGCATAAACCAGACCTCACTGCTGGGGGGGGGGGGGATTGTTACTTAGCAAAACATTCTTCACAACTAAACAGTCTGTATCTACTACTACCTGTGAGGGGGGAAAGTATCCCTCCACAAGAGTTTGTGAAGGTAACAAGTGCTTGTAAATGGCCTCCTGCCTAGTTGACTATGGTGAGATCGGAACTACCAAATTGTATTCTAGCAGGGTGCTGTCTAGTTGCCTACCCTTTGGGCTATGTCTCAAATGAACTCAACGCCATTTCTGCTCCAAGCACCATAGGATGCCCAAAACTGCACCTGGACAGTCCCTGCTACAGCCCCCTACCTGGTACCATAAGTTATATCACACTGCTGCTCCTGGCTCTTAACAAGACTGACCCCCCCCCCCGGGCTGCCAATGAAGTTAACTAGCTGTCCTGTAACTGAGAATAAAGAACATCATATTGAATTGCACCCATAGCCTTTGGCTCTGTTTATTTACTTCATTCATATCCCACCTTTCTCCGCAAATGGGGACCCCAGGCAGCTTTCATCGTTCTGCTCTCCTCCATTTTATCCCCACAAAAACCCTGTGTGGTACGTTAGGCTAAGCTTGTGTGACTGTCCCAAGGTGACTCAGCAAGCTTCCATGGCAGAGTGGGGATTCAAACCCGGGCCTCTTTGATGCTGGTCAAACACTTTTATAATTATACCATACTGGCTCTATTTGCAAGGAGGCTCAGTAGTATAATATTCCCCCACACCCTTCCCCCAAGTAAAAACTTCATCCATGTAAACTTTTTCAAATTAGAAAAAAAAGAGTTGTTCTTTGTATGTACCAGTGTGTCAATATGCCATTCCTAACTGGTATTTGCAGATGGACCAGCAAGAACAAGAGTGTGGGCTGGTAACTTATGTATGCCCCCCCCCCCGGGTGATATAACAAATTGCCAAATATTTGTTACTAAGTCAAGGGAAAGTTTTATTTTTCAATATCTTGCTAGTTGTTCTCTTGCCTGGCTCATCTACTACTAAAGATAGAGACCCAGGAGAGAATACTTGTCAGCTTTTTTGCTGTTCTGGCAATCTGGCCATTCAGTTGTGGAACTGACAACATATCTATCAATTTCACTGTATTGCTGATTCAGGGGAGAGACAAAGAACCTGAATAAGCAGTAGCCAGTATCAGAATCATCCAACAAAAATCAAAGTAACACACCATACACACTGATTCAGATTAGCAATCTTATCAACTGCTGTCATCAATACCGGTTGTGGATGGATTGAAAATGAAGACGTTAAATGTCAATCAGGTATATTTAGCTATACCTCTGAATCTAAATACAGAAGGACAAAAAGAGAAGACCTAGAAACATTTGCCTGGAGCAACAAAAGTGAAAAATATTTTGCTAGTTATAGACAAGTTACATCTTTGGTAATATTGATAGATATTTGTTAAATGTAACAGAATGCTATAACTGACAGTTAATATAATTGTTAATAATCTGTAACATGTTAAATTTAATAAAAATATATTTTAAAATGTTTTGCTAGATTATGCTAAACATTCCACTATTTGCATCCAGGCTCCTAAAAAAACCCAGATCTACCTGGTTGCATACTGAAAAAATGTGCTGTTGGTTAATTGGAATTAATGTATTAATTAGGCTTCCAGACTTGAAAGCACAAGCCTTCTTTTGCTCTAATTCGTATGTTCTGCTAAAGTAGAACAATTAAAGCTATTGTGGCCTAGTGACATACCAAAAGTTTAGTTCTGAATGGTTATTTATTATTCTAAATACATTAACAATTCAGGGATCATAAACAAAATAGATCATCTAATTTCACACAGGGCAGGAAAAATAATCAATGTGATTTTAAAGATGTTGTTGTTCACCTGTAATGCTACACTTAAAGAGAAGAACTGGGTTTGAGTGACAGGCATGGATGAAAGTTACATTTGAACCACATACCAGTCCCTTCTCCTAGCCTGAGCTCCTTATTCTGTTCAAAAAGAGAAGAATAAACTACTTCAGTACTGCTAAGAATAAATGCAACTGTCAAGCAGTGTGGTCACAATACACAGTATTGTTAGGATACAAAACATAACATTAACTGCTTCAGCCTTTTATATCCTGTTTTGTCAGCAAACTACCAAAGCAACATTAATAACCTGATCAGAAAGTAGAAGTTTAAATTGAGGTAATTTTTCTCTAAGTAATATAGCTGAGTTGTCATGCAATGTAATTTAAAATGTCAGACCAAGAAAACAAGTAATGAGAGGTGAGAGACTGCAGCAAATCAGTGGAGAGCCTGTCAAGAAACCATAACAGAAGGAGGTCCACACTGGCATAAAAACTGGAAGCACTATTAGTAACCAAACCCCAGCACAAAGCTGTAGTTTTCTAAGGAAACCAGACCTTTGAGGGAGGAAGCACAAGCCAGAGAGATCTGCAGGTTAAGGGGGGGGATGTGTGGCATTTAGCCGCCTCTAACCGCAGCAGAGAAGGAAATCAACAGGAAACCCAGCCTGACAATGCATGCAGGCACACACTGAAATTATCAAGTCTGTTTCAAAATCTATGGGGAGAAGAGAGAAAAATGCACTCATAAACTGGGCCTAGTCTCTTTTGTTCAAAATGATTTTTCTAAATACCCATTTCAAAGAAGAGAAAGAAAAGACTGCAAGCAAGGAAGAGCTGGGAAAGGAAAGTGGAGGGGGTGCATGAATCAAGAACTGGGGTAGAGCCCATTTGAGGAAAGAAAATGAAATAACAGGGAGGCACAAAAATGCAGACAACGTGGATGAACCTGAGGCAGGAACCATTAAAAAAACTGGGCGGGGGGGAAAAGGCAACACAAATTTAAAATAAGGGGCAGGGTGGGGGTCGGGGAAGCACAAAAGGAAAAAGTCTGAATCAATCTTCTGGGGGGGCATATTGTGAAAAAGGAACCAAAAGTGAACATAAGCAGCGGGCTGGGATAGAACCAGACTGGGGGATCCGCTTAAGTCAAAAACTGGACGCAGAAAGGAGGAGTGGGGAATCCAAATGAACATAACCGGCAAACTGGACTGGGAGGGCGAGAATGGGCCGGCAGAAGGGGTGGTGGATGGATTTAATCGAGAAGAACTTTAGGCAATATAAAAAAAGGGGGGGGAGGCCGGATAATAAAGGGATGGAGGAAATCAAAACTTTATCTACAGGGAAGGAAGTGTGTGTGTGTGTGTGTGAGGGTGGGGGTGTGCCGTGCCCTTGGCCTTGCCCCGAGGAGACGGGAGACGTGACAGGGAAGTGCCCAGCCCAGAAGTCCGTTTCTCTCCCGCCCCTGCTCCGTCTCTCACCCATCTGTTCCCGCAGCCCCTTCAGGGAGGGCGCCGAGGCACTGCCGGTCTCCGCCATCTTCGGCCGCCTGAGGGGGGGGGAGGAAAAGGAAGCCCCCCTCCCCTCACGCGGTCACTCCCCTCCCGCCGCCGAAATCGCTCAACTCACAGCGGGCGGCCAAGAAACGCCGCACCGAGCGGGCTAGAACGCCTGACTGACTGGTCGAGACTTACTGCGCATGCTCTGCCTTGGCCGAGCCTCGCGCGCTCGCTCTTTCCCCCCTCCCTTTCCCCCTACAGCGCCGCCTCGAGGAAGGGGGAGACCGACAGAACGCCGGCGGACGGGTCGCGGCGTATTGCGCATGCTCGCAATTGACCGCGTCCCGCCGTCGCTGTCTCCCCTCGGTCTTTCTCGGCGGCCTCGGGTCGCGCACGCGCGTCCTCCAGCACCGCCTCAAGGAACAGGGCGGGGAGGAAGACTGAGCGGAGGCGCGCTTTTCGCCTCTGGCTCGCGCACGCCTTCTTGGAAGCGGGCGATTTCCTCTTTTGCTCCCCTCCCCACCCCACCCTCGGGCCACGGCAAGTGCGTTGCCTCAGACTCGCCCTCTCCAGGCGGTTCAGATCTCTGCTGCCGCAAATCACAAAACCCGGGGTGCACAAAGTGGCCTGAAAGTGATGTTACGCAGTCCAATTCTCACTTGTATTTGTTCAGATGTAAACTGCACAATTCAGGTCCCAAGTATAGCACAGTGGAGCCTTTTCTTTTCTTGGGTCAGCCTAATTCGCATTGGGGTTCTTGTGAGGGAAGGACAGTGACAACATGGGGCGATGCTCTGGGTGCAAATCGTTGACTATCTGTGAAGCTCAGCCCTGTAGGATGGGTGACTTTACCCAGCCTCCCCTAATCCACTATTGTTCTGAGGATAAAAGGGATAACCCAAGGTTTACAAACGTGAGATGAAAAGATCTGGGTGGGCAAATAGATTCCAAAATCTTGGCCCTGGTTGGATCCAGCAAGTTTATTAATTCAGTCTCACCCAATTCCCCACCCTTCAGTAACCCCCCCCCCCCAATGATTTCTGTACATGCTGGCAGGCCCCAATATCATAGCCTCTTTTGGTGGTTACTGAGGAGTGGACACCTCTTGTTCTTCATCAGCTGCAAAACTAGGTGGATCCAACCCAATGTATTTAAATATTCTTGTGATGGGTACATTTTAATGTTTTATAGCCACTGATAAGGGTATTTCTAAGGAATAATTCTGTCTCCAATATTTGAGGGGCGGGGGAATACTGGCTTCTCTTTGAAGCTTGCACTTCCTAAATGGTTCTAGAAGAATGGTGAGATGCAAATGGGATCGCTGACAAAGGAAGATACCTCACAAGCTCCTAAATTCCTGTTTTTTCCCCATAAGAACATAAGAGAAGCCAATGTTGGATCAGGCCAATGGCCCATCCAGTCCAACACTCTGTTACACAGTGGCCAAAAATACCAGGTGCCATCAGGAGGTCCAGCAGTGAGGCCAGGACACTAGAAGCCCTCCCACTGTTGCCCCCCCCCCCAAGCACCAAGAAGACAGAGCATCACTTGCCCCAGAGTCCCTATGGCTAATAGCCACCGATGGACCTTGTGGCTAATAGCCACCGATGGACCTCTGCTCCATATGCTTATCTAATTCCCTCTTGAAGCAGTCCATGCTTGTAGCCACCACCACCTCCTGTGGCAGTGAATTCCATGTCTTAATCACTCTTTGGGTGAAGTGCCATCATTGGCACTTCACTTACTTCCTCCCTAATCTTTTATTTCTGCACCCAGAAATGTTATGATGAGAAGGATAGAGGATGTATTAGCATGGAAGTTTGTTTCTTTTTGAAATCTTCAGGCAATGTGAAACAGCAAAAACCCAAATGTAATAATTTCATTTATTTGTTAAAAGAGGTCTGCTGCTTTCTTAGAAGACTAGTAATGCTATGCTAAGAGTGCTTTCCTGGGAGTAAACTGTTTTGAATGGACCTGACTACGAGTCTGAATAGCTCTGTTTAGGATTGCACTGTGGCCCTTCCTTCACAAGTAATCCAACTAATTCCTCAGCATGAAACAGTTTTACTACCACCCCCATAGGATTGCCAACACCAGGCTGGGAAATTCCTTGAGATGTGGGGGTGGAGCCTGCAGAGGGGAGAGTTTGGGGAAGGAAGGGACCTCCGTAGGGACATGATGTCATACAGTCTGCCCTCTGAAGATGCCTTTTTCTCCATGGGAACTGCTGCCTGGAAATTCAGTTGTAATTCTGGGAGATCTCCAGGCCCCACCTGGAGGGTGGCAACCCTACCCATGAAACTGTGTCATCTGACAGATGCACTCAAGGATCCCTATGCAATGTCACAAAGGATGCTTGCAAAAAAAACTTGACATGTGCAATGTGAGCAGTATTAGGTCGCATCTTGTGCATTGGGTCCTACAGCCATTTATCAAAAGGTACCACCAAGCATCTCTAAGTGTTCAGCATGGTTTTTTTGTTGTTGTTATTACTATTTTCAACCTGCCTTTAATAAAATAATAAAACATCGAATAGTACATTGTAAGTTGTTCAGCTTTATTGTTTATAACCACAGGTCATCACAGTATCACCCTCATCATCAAATTCCATGTGGAGAGAAATGTTTTTGACTCTCAAAATACCAGGCAATTCTTGTGTTAATTAAATTAATTAACAATGAATTCAAATAGCTGTGTCTTTATGGATAATATCTTGCAAACAAAGGCTGAGGGGGAAAAGCACAAGCATGCAGAACTGACTCTGAAAATGAAAATGAGCATGGCATTCTTGTTAATTATATCCACAAGTGGCTTGATAACATTAAAAACATTAGGAAGGATATTAAGTTAGTTATAGATTTTGCAGACAATTTCAGCTTACCTCCAAAGAATAGTAATTTGCAAAACATGTGGTATCACCAGGAAAGCCCTGAGCAAAGAAGCTTGATCATGCATCGATCCAAGTATAACCAACGTGTTGTGGTGGTTAGAGTATTGGACTAGGATCTCGGAGACCCAGGTCTGAATCTCCACTCTGGAAATCGAGTTGCCATCCTCCAGGTGGTGGCTGGAGATCTCATGCTAGAAGTGATCTCCAGGCAACAGAGAGCAGTTCACCTGGAGAAAACGGCCGCTGTGGAAGGTGGACTCTTTGGCATTATACCCCATCAAAGCCCCTCCCCTCTCTAAACCCTGCCCTCCTCAGGCCCCACCCCCAAAATCTCGAGGTATTTTAAAACCTGGAACTGGCAACCCTCATGAAAACATACTGGGCAACCTTGGGCCAGTCACTTCCAGCTTATCTACTTCACAGGGAATAACATGGCTTTCAGTGTAAAGGTATTTCACCTTTATTTTTATTGTGATTTTATATACTGAGCACAAAAGAGTCAGAAGTAGCAAAACAAAATATAAGTCTGAACAAGGGAAATGAAGTAATTAATTCTTTTATTAAGTACCCATTAAAAGGTAAAGGTTTCCCTTGCTCGAAAGCCAGTCGAATCCGACTCTAGGGGGCGGTGCTCATCTCTGTTTCCAAGCCAAAGAGCCAGCGCTGTCCGAAGATGTTTCCATGGTCATGTGGCCGGCATGATTAAATGCCGAGGCGCAAGGAGCACTGTTACCTTCCCATTGAAGCAGTACCTATTTATCTACTTGCAATTTCTTGTTTTTGAACTGCTAGGTTGGCAGGAGCTGGGGCCAGAGATGGGAGCTCATCACCGGCACTAGGGTCTTTTATTTTTTTGAAACCCCTGAAGGGATTTTTTAAATTTTGCATTAAACTACAAACTACAAAGAAAATTAGGAAGGGGAGCTACAACTAGGGATAAAGGAAAGATAACCACACTAAACAAAAAACCCAAGAGGATGAGATCTTATTTCTGTTAGTGTAAATGTTAGTATTACAAGTGTTAGTATCACAATATACTTGTAGAGTTCCTGCTTATCTGCCATGTTTCTATGTTATTATGTTAGTTATTATGAGAGAACTTTCTGATCATCTTCATGTTCTTTGCTTCAAAAGGCCAGTTTCCCAGTCCTTCTGTCTTTACTTCGGCTTTCTGTCTCTAAAATTGTAGACAACTTTGGCAGGTCCAGCACCTGTTTCTGTAGCAGAGTCTTCTTTCGTTCCAGAGGTAGCAGAGTCACTGGATTTCGTTTCTTCCTCCTTAGACTCTTCCTCTGTTCCAAGCTGACGCCACAAAAACTCTTTAGCATTGAAAATGGAGTCTTCTCTCTTTTATTGTTGATCTTAAAGATGACACCTTCCAGGATCACCCACCTGTACGTTATTCCATTAGTTTGAAGAAAAGCAATCAAATCTTTATCATCTTTCCTCTATTGCCGAATTTCAAATGGAATGTCTTTTAGCGTCTTGATCGTTACATTTCCCATTCTCAGTGGAGTTGCTGATGTTGCTTTTAGAATAGCATCTCTGGTCTGTCTTCTTGAGAATTTGACCACAATTTCTCCAGGTAGGCTTTTAAAAAAAATATAATTGGCGTATGCCCTATAGGCCACCTCCATGTCTTTTACTAGTACATCCGCTGTAGAGCCTATCACTGGAGCGATAATCTCACTAAGCAAACTCCTCAGGTCCTCTTTCGCTGCTTCAGGAACTTCCTGGAACCTGAGAATCATATTGGCTTAGTTGCAGTACACGGTTTTCTTGAAGATTTTGCTTTGTTTCCACCTCTCCCAATCTTTTCTTCAACTTCTTACTTGTGGTGTCCATCTCTTGAATTTTCTCATTAGCCTGCTCCACTTTCTTTTCTGTTTCATTCAGCTGGAGCTGTTGAGATGCAAAGTTCTTATTCATCACAGTCAGTTGCTGGTTAATATCATCGAGTTGTTCCATCACCGGCTTGAGCATATCCGCTAGTAGTTTAATGACATCTGCACCCTCTTCCAGTTTGGGAATCTGACTGCCTGGCGGTTTCGTTTTTAACTTTGCACACCAGGCCGCCATTTTTCTGATTTGTTTACACTTCCCACCGCTTTCTCCTGACTCAGAAAACTTGCTCACAATGTCAAAAATCAAGTAAGTCTCTCACAAAACATGCACTACTTGCCTCCCCTCTTTCCCCCTTTGCGTCATTTATCGGTTATTCGCATAAGAGACGTCCCTCTTTGCATCTGCTTCTTCCCGCACGGGGGGGGGGAATCCACTTTTTTTTAAAGGTCCGTTTTAATCAGAACTCACGTTCATTGTTAGTCAGATTCTCTGACCACGCTGCGTTTTAATGATCTTTCGCTCGATCTCCGGCGCTTGTCCCGGTCAAACCAGCCTGTGCCCAAAGGCCA